AAAGCTGACCTCCAGCTCAGCAGAAAGAAAAGGATGCTGAAGGAGAGTGGCAGCATGCAGGAGCGATCCAGCTCCTCCACCAAGGACAAGCTGCCTGCCAAGAAGGCCAGTAAAATAAAGCATTCAGAGGTCAGCACAAAAGCTCCAGCCACCCGAAAGCAGGCTGCCATGGAGAGGAGCAATAAACTGGACAGAAAAATGTCTTTGAAAGAAAAGAAAGTCCCAAAAAGGCAGCTGGAGAAGGTGCGGCTCCCCATGCGGCAGGGCAAGGAGAACACAAGCAGACGGGCCGTGCTGCCCCACAGCCATGAGGAACTGTCCAAGTCCCTGAAGCAGAAGCCCCTGGGGGAGTCCTCCACACGGTCGCAGAAGATGGCCAACAAGAAGCACAACAGTGGGAAGACCCTGACAAGGTCCATGAAGAAGATGCAGGAGAGCAGCGTGTCACAGGGCAAGAGGAAGCTGAGGGCAAAAGTGGACTGTTCACACAGCAAACGCTCACGACTGGACCCGAAATAGTGAAGAACCGGTAGCCATGTACAAAACTGATGTATAGTAGTAATCCTTTACCATGCATTAACTAAAGCTGCTTTTATAAGCTGTAGCAAGCCTTTAAAAATCCGCAGTTAAAGGATAACGCCCGTGATTTTAGGCATCAGCAGGTGTGTCTCAGACAGAGAAGAGGTTGGCCTGTCTGGCTCTGCTGTTCAGAAGGAAGTTTTTGCAGTTTGAACGTTCCTTCAGTTTTTTTAAACTTGGAACCAGGCAGTTTTAGTTAAAAGTACAGTGCCTTATTTATCACTTTAAAAATAAAAATAAGAAGCTCGTCTGTGTGATTTGGAGGCTTGCGTTTTATACTTGAGGCACAAGCACTTGTACTGTAGCAGAAAGAAAACCACCTTCGTGCACATGAAGTAGCTTTTGTCAGCCTTTGGGTGCACACAAACATTTCCCTTTCCTTCAGAGTCCTCCTTCTGTCTGTCTTCTTAGTGGCATTTAAAGCAAAACCAAAACCCTTTCCCATCACTGAGGGAGAGAAAGGTATCTGTCCTTTGTCGGTTCCTTGGTGGCAGCTGCTGGTGTCCTGAACTGTTACCTGCATAAGAGTGTGAAGTAGCTACTGGTGTGTGTACTGCTGATGGCTGCCACTCCCCAGGGCACAGCCCGTGGGGTGGGGAGGGCCTGCTCAGATGGAGGAGATGCTGTGGGGGCTCTGGGTACCAGGCTGCCGCATCCTGCTGCCGCCTGAGCGCACTGGGCTGTATCCGTCTTTATTTCTTGCTGGCTTCAGGGATGAGCCAGTCCTGCTGTGCTCTGCTTTTGGACAGACCTCCTCCTCCCATTTTCCTGCCCTTGTGATGAATTCTGTGGTCTCTGATGGCAAAGCTGTTTCTTCAGCACTTCGCTGAAGGTTGAATCGCTCCCTTTTTATGAGCTCAAGCTCCTTCTGATATTGGTGCTCTACAGGAGGGAAGCCCTGGCCCTCACCCTGTGCTTTTGTACACTTCTTGCCTAGTGCTCTTCTAAGCCAGGATTTGCAGTTGGAATAGGGTTGGGATAAGGACTGGCTTAACTTTTTTTTTTTACCATAATTTACATTTCATCCTTTTACTAGCAAGGTCCGTGAAGTTTGTCCTTGCTTGTGTCTGGCTCTGGAGTTTGAAAGCAGCTGAGCCTCTGCCCTGTCCTGCACGACACCTTTGCAGGGCTCCTTCTCAAGCCTCTACAGCACATTTAAAAACCAGCTGGGGGTCTGCAGTGGCAGAACAGGGTCACAGGGCTTGGCAGCTCTGAGAAAAACTTGTTAGAAGTGCACAGGGCACATGGCTGTGTTGGCTCTGCCAGGCAGAGACCATCAGCGGCTGGGAGCTGTGACTGCTTGGGTTTTACTGAGGATGAACCAGGCATTTGAGATTCACATGCCCTTCACAGAGCACCTCTGACTCTCTTGCAGTTATTCCCTTTCCCCAGTACTGATGCACGCAAGGCTGCGGCACATTTCTCTCTTCCTGTGAAATGGCTGATGTAAGAAAAAAACCCTCTTTACCTTTCTTTTGAATCATGCTAGAATAAGTTAACTCTCTGAACAGCTAGGAAGTGATTAAATCTATCCTGTCAGTCCCTGTACAGATTAATATGAATTTATCTATTACTTTAATTTTTACTGCATGCATTAAATATGTCAAACATTCCATCAGAAAACATTTTAAAGTGTTTCAGGAGAGGTGTGAGGCAGGAGGGCACTGATGGCAGTTAAAATGACTGATCTGTACCTTTCTTGCAGGTTGTCTTTCCCTCTTGCTTCTCCATCCATTTGGTCTTCTAACCTCTGGCTGGGGCAGCCTCTCTGCAGTCACACAGACCTGGGTTTTCCTCTCCTTCCTCTGGGCCAGGTGTGTCCCTTTTACCTCTGCTCCTCGTGCCTCTGCCCTGCAGCAAACCCATCCTTCATCATTACTCCTGAAGCACCTGAGACGGTCCATGCGCTGAGCTTCTTGGGGCTTTCCCCCTCCCTTTCTCTCTTTCATTTTTTAGTAACTTTTGGTAGATGCAGGCTGTCCTGCTCTCCGTCTTCTGTGCTTCTGGGAGAGGGAAACTCATTAGGATAAAACTCTAGAGAAAGCAAGTGGAGAGAGGCTTTCTAGATCAGGTGCTGGTGCTCCAGCCTCACGGCTGCTTTCCTGAGCCCCTGGCGCTTTCCCAGCACTGGCTGGCTCAGGCACAGTAAGCCTGGGATATGGCAGGTGTCATGCTGGTGCAGAGAGGAGCAGCATCTGGGCATCTGTCCCAGCTGGGTGCATGCTGCATGGTGGGATCAGTACGCTGAGCTTCCCAGCAGTGTCCCTGACAGGCATTGGCTCCAGAGAGGAGTGGCCAGGACCTCTTGTGTGAAGGAAACAGAAATGCTGCAAAGGAAAGCTGTATTCCTCCAATGCCTTTGAACTTCCAGTCTTGGTCTGAAGTTTTCTCTTGTATTGCTGTGTTTTGGCTTGGTTGGATGATTTCCTGTGCTGAAAGCAGGGAATTGCAGAGCTCTGGAAGGGAGCAAATTGAACCTGGCTGTGCTGGGCACTGCAGCCGATGTGGCCTGAGATTTGAGAGTGCCTGCAGCTTGTCCCAGGCTGCACTCACCTTCAACCAGCAGCTGTGTCTCTCTCTGAGGGGTGCCAGAGGCATTCAGCAAGCCCTGACTTTCCCATATTAGATCCAGTATGTCCCGTGCATAAAGTAATGCTCATCAAATCTGTACAAAGAACCTAATGACTTCTAACAGGAGTTGGGCTGAGCCTTATAGGTGTAAATCTGAATTTTTGCACCCTTTGACAAGGAAAGGTAGAGGGTGTGGAGATTTTGTCAGAATGGGGCTGAGAAGAGGGTTCTGGGCTGGGCTGTGGGTTGTTATTCTCGTCTTCAGAAAGCAAATGGAGAGGAAGCAGATGAAAAGAAAGCAAATAATTCTGAGGGTTTATTTCCAAGAAAACCATTTTTCAATACAATTGCCCCAGCCTGCTGCCTGGGACCAGCAGTTGGCTTGGGTGGGCAGAGGGCATAGCAGCACCTTGGGCATCTGCAGGGACAGGGAACAGCAGGTTTGCAGGAGATGCCTGGACTGTCCCAGGGAGTGAGATGGTCTAAGGTCTTGTCAATAGGGACCCCACATGACTCCTTGCTCCACTGTCCTCAGGGCTGGTTCCTGGTGCTGCAGCCTCTGCAGGGCTCTCCCCATATGGGCACATAGACCTGGCTCAGAACTGCTCTGCTCTGTGCCTCCTCCTTTCCTCCAAACAACTTCTTATTGAAAAATTGCAATTTTGAGGAAAGCTGGAGTGATTCTTCTCTACATCATGCCGTTTGTGAGGGACTGGCAGGAATGTTTCCCCCCACAGCTGCTGCACTGGGTGGTGGATTTAACTCATTCAGGTATATTTAGGGAGAGCTGTCTAGTTTGCCAAGGGATGGGTAGCATGAAGCTGTCACCTATGGCCAAGTTATTGCAGGGAGCACTTGGAGCATGACCTCTCCATCCCACCTCGAGGTGGGAATATTGCTGCTTTAGTTCTCAGAACTACAGATTTGTGCAGTCCTGTGGATTAAACCAGAAGATGCCTCAGGGGTGAGGTGGGCCAGGGGTGGTCATCATCTCTAGAAATGCATTAAGGCTTTCTTCCCTGAGGAAGCCCCTAGCTCCTCACCAGGCTCCTCTCCATGCTGTCACTGCTCCTGGAGATGCCATCTCTGGGGCCTCTGCCTCTCCTGTGTGCATTCTCCACTTGACACCAGTAAGAGCAGACAAGTCTTGCAGACTACAAGACTGCTTTGAATGTGCTTTGCACCTGCTTTTGTCAGTGTTTTATTTTGGGGCAGGAAGAAAAGCCATAAGTTGCTAGAAAATTAAATTTCCATTTAATTTGGTAGCAAATTAAGGGTGAGCCTGTGAGGTGATTGCCTAGTAAGGCAGCATTGCTTGGGTAGCTCCATTTTCTTTATCAGTGCTCAGATCTTTGAATTTTTTCTCTATTTCTTTTTTACCCCAGTCACTTTACTTCCCTATTTCCTCTCTTCACGCAGCTGTGTTTCAGCTAGAACTGTGCACAAGAGACACATAGGTATAACCTCTCTGTTAATGCCATGCACTACTCACTCCTGTTTGTCCTGCAGCAAGGCAGTGGGGAGGTGTAGCTCAGGCACAGCCCCTGCTTTAGATCAGTCAGTTCCCAATAAATGCAGCTCTTACGCCATGCAAGGGATGCACAGGGGGCTGCAGATGAGCTTAATGAATGGAAGGAAATAAGCAACACAATTTATCACCTTAATCCACACAGACATGGAGTGTGTTTCCGTGTGCTACAGCACAGAGCTGCCCACTGGCACTCCCACAGTGCCATCCTCAGCTCTCCAACCTCATTGCGCTCAGCCTCCTCTGGGCCACCTCACAGCTCCGTGCTGTGCTGTTTCAGCTCTGGATCTCGAGTGCTGCATCTCACAAAGCAGATCTCTTTCTGTTACTTTGCCTTTCCTTGCTGGTCACTTTCTCATCTTATTCTTGAAACTAGTCTCCATCCCAGTGCCCCAGTCTATGTACCAGGAGCAGCATCTTCTTAGCTCTGCACCTGCACAGATGTCCTCACTGTCCCTCTGCTGCCAGCCCCTCTCTCTCATTTGCATGGTCACCTTTTCCTCTCTCACCTTGTCATCCGCAGCTCTGAGTCTTCACACTTTGCACAATCCGTCCATATTAATTAACCTGCAGGAGGAGCTGTGTTTGCCAAGCTCAGAGTCAAAACTTATGTTGGGGTTTGTCCGAGTGCTGCAGCAAGAGCAGTTTGAGCCCAGGATGGCTCCTTCTACGTGTAGCTGTTAGATATTGTCTAGCAAGGCTAGCCCTGGAATGGGTTTTCCTGCTGGCCGGGTGTGCGCAGTGTACCCAAGGTATGCATGTGTTTGTATTCATCACTGGCTGGTCCCTGGCGAGATCCTGTTTGCTGTGCACAGTGGTGTTTGTGTGCACAGTGCACAGT